TTAAAGATGATTTTGTCTCATATGGGTAGTGCTATCCTTACTTTCTTATCATTTCCATTTGCATGAAATACCTTTTCCATCCTTTAACTTTCAGTCTGTGTGTGTATTTTGCCATGAAATGAGTCTCAAGTAAGCAGAATATTGTAGGTTCTTGATCTATTTTTTTTTTTTGTATTCAGCCAATCACTCTGTCTTTTGATCAGAGCATTTAGATAATTGAAACTTAAAAGTAATTATTGATAGGTATGTACTTCTTGCCATTTTAACCCTTATTTTCCATTGTTTTTTAGTTCTTTATTAATTTCTTAATTTTGTTTTTCCTTTTGTGGTTTGATGATTTTCTTCTATAATATGCTTGAGTTCTTTTCTTTTTGGTTCTTGTGAATCTTTTGTATGTTTTTTATTTGTGGCTACCATGGACTTCAAGTATGTTGACCTGTAACTATCTACTTGCTTTAAACTGATAGCTGTTCAAGGTCAAACACATTCTAAAAGATCTACCTTTTTATTCCTCTCCCCACATTTTATAATTTTGATGTCCTATTTTACATCTTCAAGTTTATGTTTTTACTGTTTATTATAGTTATAATCACTTTTACAACTTTTTGATTGTTTTTTGAACTGTCTACTGACTTGTTTAAGTGATCTTCAATTCTTTTATATATTTGCCTTTCCTGTTGTGATTTTTCCCTTTCATATAGGTTCTTGAATCATTTTTATTTAGAGAAAATCCTTCAGTATTTCTTTTAGGGTAGGTTTAGTATTGCTAAATTATTTTTTGCTTGTCTGAGAAATTCTTTCTCTTGCCCACTCTAAACGATAATCTTGCTGGATTATCTATTGTGGTCTTGAAGACTGTTTTTATGTGGGAGCATCCCTATGTAGGCTGTGTGCTTCCAGTGTCTTTGATGCCAGGACTGGTTTTGATATGGACACCAGCCACATCTTTTCTCAGGTTGGCTGGCCACCATCACCTTGACAGGGGCTGTGGTTGGTGTTGGAGGGTCTAAAGCCTGTAAAGGGTGTGAGGCAGGACTTCTCTGCTCCATGGTTGCTGCCATACTGAAAAGGGCATGGTCTACTCCCCACTTGTTGGAGTAGAAGCCCTGAGGGTTGGGCTCAGTAAGCTTCCATTCTCCTTGAGGGCACGCTCTGCCCACAAAGAGAGGAGTAATGAAGACACGAGGCTCGTATGCTCACAGAGGACTGATGCATTCCTTGTGTAGGTGTCTGAAGCTCTGCTCAAACACAGCTCAAGTTTGAGCCTCTTCACCTGTTGTGCCGTCCCAGATCTAGTGGAAGGCTGTGGGGTCAGAGTAGGTCAGTACTCTGTGGGGTCAAAGTAGGTCAGTACTGTGACCCTGTAGGGTAGGGTAGGTACAGAGTAGGTCAGTAGGTCAGTACTCTGACCCTGTAGGGTAGGGTCAGAGTACTCACTGGGCTGGGGCTGGGGCTAGGTTGGGGCATTGTGGCTATAGGAATATACATTGTTGTCTTGCTACAAGAGATCTGGGCCGCCTCTGTGGCAGTCTTCTTCCAGGATCTGTCTGCCCCAGATCCGGTGCCAAACTGTGGCATAGCATGGGCAGGCTCTTTGCTTAGCTGGGAACAGGGTTAGGAATGGGGACCTAGTGTGCTTGATCCTAGCACTGCTTGAGTAAGCACTGACAATGACTACTGCTTTCCTACCTGGGCCACATCCCAGGGCCCTTGGGGTGGTCTCTGTGTAGCTAGACCAAATATTTCCCCAGGGCTAAGTCTGCCCAGATCTTGCACCTAACTGTGGTGCAGGGTGAGTAGGGCCTGGGTTTTTGCCCTACTCAGATTGGGGGGTGTGGCAAGGCAGCTGCCAGTGTAAAACCCTCTCTGCCCTATTTGTTAGCAGGCCAGCACCTGTGCACTCTTTGTGGGTAAAGTATAGGATTCTCCATCCTTCCACCTGTCCCAGTGGTTCTCCCAACAGCCAAGGGGGCTTGCCTCCTTTGTAAAAGACACCAGGACTGGAGTGCCCTGCTCCCAGGGTGAGGGTCCACCTGTGTGGACCTTCTTTTGATTTCTCTCAGAGTTGGAGGTCCCAACCTTATGCCTGTCCTACCTGGTTACATGGAAATCTTTCTTGAAGCTTTGGTTGTATAGGAGTTCTTCTGCCAGTTTTTGGTTAGTTCTCTAAGAGACTTGTTTCATGTGAAGACGTACTTTTGATGTGTTTGTGGGGGAAGGTGAGTTCCACGTCTTCCCACTCCACCATCTTGATCTGATTCTAATGCTTTCTTAACATGATAAATTGTATGTACCTTAATTCTAAAATCAGCATCTTACTTAAAGCAGAAACACCAAAGACACTTCTACTAAGTTTAGGAACAGGCAAAGAAGATCATTTGTTTAATTACTGTTAACATTGGCTAACACCAAAGGCATAAACCTTTGCAATTAAACAAGAGAAATCAATTAAAGGTATAAAAATTGAGAAAAAAGTAGAACTAACTTTACTTTTAGATGATATGATAGTATTCCTGAAAATCCCTAGATAATAAATAAAACCAACTCATTTAGTAAAAGAATTAAATAAGATAACAGGATACAAAATTAGCAGGCAGATATAAGAAATCAATGTAGAGATGGTAAGAATGAAACTGAAACATTAGCCTTTTTAGTCTCCAGCAAGATGGCATATGCTTGGCATGTTTGCTGCCACTCTTTAATAAATCTGCAGTTGTTTTCAGAAATCTCAAAATAGTCTTCCCTGTAACAATCACAAAGTGAAGGAAGTTAAACTTATTGAAGGAGAATGAAATTATTTGCTGTCTTAAAAAAATATATAGGCACAAATGAATAGCTTGAGCAAATCATTTCTGAATTTTAGTTGTGATAAATAAATCAGAGTTTAAAATTAAATGTCAGAGCATCTAGTGGTATTAAATCACCACATATAAATGAAATTAATACCAAGCAACTCCAGTACATTATTGAGGTAGTCATAGTTTTACCTGTGGGTGCCAAACATAATTATTTAAGAAAACAACCAAAAAGCATGTTATTATGTAAAGCAATTATCTTTCAATTAAAAATAAATAAAAAAAAAAATTCCAGTTGCTTTAGCGGCCATGTGCAAGTCCTTGTATTAAGTCATTTGTACTATTCTTTGCGGAAGTATCAAAATGCTTAAAAAGCCTGCCCAAGATTGACAGTAGGGCACTCACACTTTTGGGAGAATTTAGCCAATCAAGTTTTAAAGAAGACATAAAAGATGTTAGCCAACAAAACTGGTTAAATTTATAAGTTTTCTTCTGAAGCCTTTTACAATCTAAATGAAGAATAGAAAATTGCTCTTAAGGCAGTGCGTGTGCATGTATGTGTATGTGTTTTTTTCATTTTGTTTTTTGGCATTTCTTTGTCTCTAATATATATACATGTATATATATAACATATATATTATTTGTTATTTGAAGGAATGACTAGTTTGTGCTCAAGAACTTCTGTCACTGCGCTGAATGAGTTTTTCAGTGGTCACTCCTTTCCAACCATTTTCCCCCAACCATCTTAAAATTGTTTTTTAATAATAAAATATTTGAGGGAATTCTCTGGTGATCCAATAGTTAGGACTCTTCACTTTCACTGCCAAGGGTGCAGGTTTGATCCCTGGTTGGGGAAATAAGATCCTTCAAACTGCAAGGCGTGACCAAAAGTTAAAAAAAATAAAATTAAAAAGAGAATAAAATGTTTGATAGATTTAATTTGGAAATTGTTATTTTAGTTTTATAAGAACAATTAACTAAATTTGAAATTTTATATACATTTTCATCTAAAACAAAATGAAAATGAATTATAGAAGTATTATTGATTTAAATGATAGTTATTATTAACATCCTTTAAAGAAGTATATACACTTTTTTCTGAAAAAGAATTGAAGGAAATAAGACCAAAGCCTATCAGAAATATGAGCAAAAGACCAAAAAGAAAATTCATAGAAATATTAAAATGACCTTAAACATATGAAAATATGTTCAACTTTACTCATAATAACAGAAAATGCAAAGTAAATCTACTCCGAGATACCATTTCTCACTCATCAAACTGGTTAAAAACTAAAAATCATGAAACATTTCCATTGGCGAGGCTCTGGGGAAACAGATAGTCTTATACCCTGCCGATGGGAATGCAAATTGGCACAACCATATGGAGGGGAATTTAGTGATATCTATCGAAACTGCATATATGTGTTTATCTCCTGATTCATCTGTCCCACTTATAGAAGATATGTATCTAATAATATGAAAATATGGACAAGTTTATTCATGCCGCAATGCTTGACACTGCAGAATATTGGAAGCAACCTAAATGCATAGGACAGTGACTGACACACACAAATACTATGCAACTGTAAGCAAGAATCTAGATGAACAGATACAGAATAATTTCCAGAATGTATTGTTAAATGAAAAAAGAAACATGTAAAAGGGTGTCTACAGTAATACTACCTTTTGTGTAAGAAAGAATGAAAATAAGAAAATATGCATGTTTCTGTTTATTTGTGCAAAGAAGCATAGAATGGTGAGAGCAGAAATTAATGAGATTGGTGACCCACACTGGGTGGGAGGAATGGGGTGGAAAGAACGTGGGGATGGAATTAAGGTACAGAGAATGGGAAAAGGGAGAGATGCTTTGCCGAGTACACCTGTTGCTACAGTTCTGAGTTTTGGAATAATGCTAATGTTTTACATACTAAAAACAAAAACAAACAAACAAAAGAGAGAGATGAAGCCTACAATGGAATACAAAGAAATAAATGAAACCAAATGTGTTTAAAATGAAAAACAAAACCACAGGGAAGAAGGAAAAAAAGAGCTAATTCAGAAAGCTTTTGAACACAGAATTTTGTGTACACTTTCTTCAGTCAAAGAAAAACAGAAATATGAAATTCTGTTTAATACTGAGACTTGGTTTGGTTTTTGCAATGGTATGGACTAGAGATTTTGAAACTTCTTTTTCTGTGTATTCCAGGATTGAATATGTATACCAAGTTTCTTACTGTTGAAGAAGGAAGCGACAATTGTGAAAAGAGGAAAGGTTAGAATGAACCCTGTGCTATTGAATTAAAGTTGGAAGTGTTGAAATAAATTTAGTCTGGACATGTGTGTGTATGTGTATATACACATTTTTTCGCTTGGTCCACTAAGAGAGTCTTAAAACAGTAACACTTTTGTAACAATGAGCTCTTCTAGCGCCTAGATCTTGGTTTTTAAATCCACATTAAAAAAACAAAACAAAAAATGCTTGTAGGCTAAACTTGGGAAAATACACATGAACTTGGACAATCTTGTTGTGGCAGGAATTAAGAAAGTACTTAAAGAATTTTGGTGTATGTCAAAAGGACACAGGATGTAGATTAAAGTGGCTCCATCTGGCCAAAAATGGGACAATTCAAGCATCAGAATAAATGAGAGTATGGATTAGAATGCACTGAGTAAAATAAGAATCCAAGAGTTGATACTGTTATACATAAATAGATAAACAAGGAAGAAGAAAAAACTATTTCTTACAGTTAAATGTCAATTAATAAATGTAGAAGGATGAGGTAGTTAGGAATTAATATCTGGCAACCATAATAATAATAATCGATTCAGGGAAGAATCCTCAAAAAACACTAAAACTAACAAGGGAAATTAGCATAGTCTCAAATATTCTCCCCACAAAGTACTGGTGGACTGTGAAAGGAAAAATAGTAACTTTAGCCTTTAAGTATTTTGGAATTTTCCAGCTATCCTTTTGTATTGATTTCTAATTTAAATCCGTTGTTGTCTGAGAGCAGATTCTGCATGATTTCTAGTCTCCTGCATTTGTTAAGGTATGTTTTATGGTCCAGAGTGTGGTCTCTCTTGTTCCATGTAAACTTAAGAAAAATGTGTTTTGTGTTATTGTTGGATGGAATAGCCTATAGATGTCAATTATATGCAGTTGATTGATGGTGCTATAGAGTTTACCTGTGCCCTTACTGATATGTCTGTTGAATCTGTCCATTTCTAATAGAGAAGTATTGAAGTCTCCAATAAGAAAAGTAGATTCATTTGTTTCAAGTGTTGTAGTTCTATCAGTTTTTGATTCATGTATTTTGGTGCTCTGTTGTTAGGTGTATACACATGAAGGATTGTTATGACTTCATGGAGAATTGACCCTTTGATCATTCTGTAATGCCTTTTTTTATGCCTGATAATTTTCTTGCTCCAAAGTCTGCTATGTTGTAAATTAATGCAGCTACTTCAGCTTTTGTTTTGTTTTGTTTTAACTTCTTTTTTTTGTTTGGTTGTGCCACGAGGCCTGGGGGAACTTAGTTCCCTGACCAGGATTGAACCTGAGTTTTCTGCATTGGGAGAATGCAGTCTTAACCACTGGACCACCAGGGGAATCCCTACTCCAGCTTTCTTCTGATTAGTGTTCAGTTCAGTTCAGTTCAGTTCAGTCACTCAGTCATGTCCGCCTCTTTGCGACCCCACGAATCGCAGCACGCCAGGCCTCCCTGTCCATCACCAGCTCCCGGAGTCTACCCAAACTCATGCCCATCGAGTCGGTGATGCCATCCAGCCATCTCATCCTCTGCCCTCCCCTTCTCCTCCTGCCCCCAGTCCCTCGCAGCATCAGGGTCTTTTCCAATGAGTCAACTCTTCACATGAGGTGGCCAAAGTATTGGAGTTTCAGTTTCAGCATCAGTCCTTCCTTGATTAGTGTTAGCATGGTATATCTTCCTCTATACCTTTTAACCTACATGTAGAGTAGCTTTCTTAATCCCATTCAGTGGGGAGCATCAAGTGGGAATATAGAACATAACTTCTAATCTCTTTCAAGTGTCTTCATACTCCTCTCTTGCAAAAATGGAAGTATTATATACCAAGAAAAATTAAACTGAGTCTCTTGTAGAAACATGTGTTTGCATTCTTTCATCTATGTTGACAATCTCTGTCTCTTAATTGGTGTATTTAGACCATTGAAATTTAAAATGATTATTGATATTGTTAGATTAATATCTACCATACTTGTGACTATTTTCTATTTGTTGTCCTTGTTTTTAGTTCCTATTTTTGACTTCCACTCTTTCTCTGCCTTTTCTGTTTTTTTGAGTGTTTAATATGATTTCATTTTCTCTCCTTCCTTAGTATATCAATAAAAATATTTTTAGCATACCAACAAAATTATATTTTTTATTTTTTTATCTTTACAGTGAAGAGGTTTGTGGTGAAAGTTATTATCCTCAGTAATAAAAAAGGATAACAGATGTCATATGTCTTCTGATATGATGCACTGACCTAGAGAAGGAAATGGCAACCCACTCCAGTATTCTTGCCTGGAAAATTCCACGAACAGAGGAACATAGGGGCTACAGTCCGTGGGATTGTAAAGAGTCGAACACGCCTGAGCAACTAACACACATGATGCACTGAGACAGGCACATCATTGACCTGATTTTCCTGCCCCAAAGTGCATAACCTTAATTTGTTAATTCTGGCACATGTACTCAGTTGCAAAGTGTCTGACTCTTTGCAACCTCATAGACTGTAGCCCCTGGTGCTCCCATGGGATTTTCCAGGCAAGTATACTGGAGTGGATTGCCAATTTTCTCCTCCAGGGGATCTTCCTCACCTAGGGATTGAACCTGTGTTTCCTGCATTGGGAGGTAAATTCTTTACCACTTGAACCACCTAAGAAGCCCTAATTAGTCATAAGGACAACACAACAATCATACTCAACCCACTAAGATCTGGGTGTTGTTTGTTATTGCACAACAGGGAGAAAATGTAGAGGATCAGCAGCTCAGCTTGGTGATCATTGGTTTGGTGATGTCATTGACGAGCCATTTGGGTGATATAGACAAAAGAACTATGCACAGGTATAGATAGCACTCTAAAAAGGCTGGCAAACCCATATTCACATACATACAGTCTCAGATGGCACCAGCAAAGATAAGGAAAAGAAAGTCATGATGGACATTGACATTTTACAAAGTAGAAAACCAAATTATTACATTGTGGACACTCCAAGCCATAAGGATTTCACCCCAAATATAATTAGAGGGGCTGTCGGGGCTGAGGTAGCTGAGATGTGGATACAGGCAGGAAAGGACTTTGAATATGGATCATGACCTCCCAATTCAGCTCTTAAAGAAACATAGCTCCAACTGCTCCAAAGAATCTTTTCAAGCTTACTCTCCACAAAGAGCTCAGATCCTCCTCTTCAGTAGTGAAACTCCTAACCCTAATGGATTTCCTGTGCTGTTACAGCACTAAGCTGTAAGTGTAGCTGGCATTATTTAAAAATTAATGAGCGTCTTTTAAAAACAAAATACTGATGATGCCTCAAAGGAAAAAAAAAAAAATCTGTTTTGTTAACTAATAGCCAGATACATTGATACAGATATAGACCCTACACTTTTTAAAATTTTTAATTAGGATAAAACATAACATAAAGTTTACCGTCTCATTATTTTTAAGTGTACAGTTCAGTAGTGTTAAGTATATTCATATTGTTGTGCAACCAATCTCAAAACTTGCAAAACCAAAACTCTATACTCATAAAGCAACTCCCTATTTCCTCTTCCCACCCAGACCCTGAATAGAACCACTATTCTATTTTTTGTTTCTATGGCTTTGTCTACTCTGTGAAGTCAAGTGAAAGTCGTTCAGTCGTGTCCAACTCTTCGCAACCCCATGGACTATATAGTCCATGGAATTCTCCAGGCCAGAATACTGGAGTGGGTAGCCTTTCCCTTCTCCAGTGGATCTTCTCGACCCAGGGATTGAACCAGGGTCTCCTGCATAGCAGGTGGATTCTTTACCAACTGAGCTATGAAGGAAGTCTAAAATTTAATTCAATTTTAAAATTTAGTTTAATTTTTCCGCTTTATTGAGATATAAATGGGCATATAGCACTGAATAAGTTACAGCATAGTAATTTCACACACATGTACTGTGAAATGATTACCACAGTAAGTTTGGTTAAGTTTCACTGCCTCAGATAGTTAAAAAAAAATTTTTTTTTCCTTTGAGAAGTTCTAGTCTCTTAGCAACCTTCAAATATGCCGTACAGAAGCGTTAACTATAGTCACCATGATGTCCACTACATGCCCAGTACTCATTTATCTTATGACTAGGATTTGTACCTTTTGACCACCTTCATTCAATTCCCCCACCCTTTTCCTTCCTCTTTAAAGCTGAACAATAGTTCAGCTATATACCACATTTTATTTATCCCTTCACAGACTCAACACTTTTGAGATATACAAAGTCTTTCCAAGGCTGAAGAGATACAAGCTGTTTCAGTGGCTATGTAACAGCTGCTGGGTGTGGTTTCTGGAGAAAAGAATGAGGGGTCAGGATCTCTGCCAACTCACCTAAACAGCCAGGAGGTTTCATCTCTGCTTTCAAAACTTCTGTTTACTTAAACTGAAGAAACAATGTGCAATTGAGATTTATGTTTAATGAGAGAGGGGTAAAGCTATGGTACTTGCTAGAAATGATGAATAATTATTCTTTTAGAAAATTTAGAAGTGCTAACCAATAAAGAAAAGGTAAGATTACCCTTTAAGCTCAAAGACTGGATTTACCTGTGAAATTTTAGTAAGTGGAATTAAGTTGCTGAGATTTATAGAAATTCTGCCAAATATGTATTAAAAGGTATTGAATCAAGGTGAAATAAGCTCTATATCCATCCAAACTGCAAACGGTTCCAGCTTTCTCTTTTGATTTGCAATTTTACTGCATACTTTTAAAGGGAACAGCTAAAGTGAATTTAATTGTCAAAGTACTAGAGTCTTGACCTGTACCCTTTTTTTCAGGTAACTCTGGAAGAAGACTGGCTGGAGGTTTCAGAAAACAGATTTTGGTGTTGAATGTAAGAGAGTTCCTCCTCTAACATGAACATTAAAAAAAAAATTAATCTGAAATGTGTGGAAGCTGTTTCAACAGTAACCAAGACAGAATTTCAGATATGTAAATCCAACTAATAAATACCTTTAGTTAGAACATTCAAAATATCGGTAAGTTTGATTCACCACATTCACAAATTATAAGAAAAATCATATGACAGTTTCAATAGACATAGAAAAAGCACCTGATAACATTTAATATCTATTCATGAAAACTCTTAACAAACTAAGAATAGAATGACATTTCCTTAGCCTGATAAAAGCTGTTTATAAAAACCCTGTAGCAAGCAACAAAGCTTTCCTTTTGAGATTGGAACAAGACATGAATGCCTGCAATCATCGCTTCTATTCAGCACTGTCCTTGAGGTCATAGTCTGTGATATATGAAAAGAGAAAAATGAAAAGATACTGGAAAGGAAGAAACAAAATTGGCATTATTTGCAGACCCTATGATTTTAGGTATTTAAAAACCTTAAATAATGTAAAGATTAAATAAATAGCACAGTTGCTAGATATAAAACCAGCATTAACAAAATCAATTTTATTTCTATATTCCTGTAAGAAAACAAAAATTGAAATAAAAAACTCACAATAGTATTAAAAAAAATGAAGTCCTAGGAATATGTCTACCAAAATACGTACAAGACTTCTTCAGGGAAAATGGCAAAACTCTAATGATAGACATTACAGAAGATCAAAATAGTTTATGTGCTGCCGAAGTGAGAACCACAGAAGATCTAAAGAGATAGAAAGACATGTTAATGGATTGGAAGAGTAATGTATTTAGCCTCTTCAAATAGATTTATAGATTCAATTCAATCCCAAAGAAAATGCCAATGTGACAAGCATATTGTAAAATATTTGTGGGAATGTCATTGGATAAGAATTACCAATGACCAGAACAATAAAGAAGAGAGAAGAATGATCCACGGACTAAACAAAACCTGTGCGTAACAGCATCCCTGTGTGTCTAGCACCTAAGTCCCCCTGCCATTATGCCCAAGAGAAAGACTGAAGGGGATGCTAGAGGAAATAAAGCCAAGGGGAAGGACAAACCACAGAGAAGATCTACGAGGTTATCTGCTAAACCTGCTCCTCCAAAGTCAGAGCCAAGCCTAAAAAGGCGCTTGCAAAGAAGAGAGAGAAGGCACCCAAAGGGAAAAGGAGTGATGGGATGGGAATAACCCTGCAAAAAATGGAGCAGCCAAAACAGACAAGGCGCAAAAAGCCGAAGGTGCTGGAGATAACCAAGTGAAGTTTCATGATTCCATCCTATTCCTGTTCCCACTCCCATTCTACCTCCACTCTTATCCCCATCTCTGTACTCCTCTCCTCAGCTCCATTCCCCATCCTTACAGATCCTTCTTTCCATCTTTATTCTCATTCTGATCCATATCAAATCCTCAGATTCTATCCCATCCCCATCTCTATCTGGTCTCCATTCCATCTGCATCTCCATCTTCATCTTTATCTTTAGTTTCATTCATGTTTATCATCAGTTCCTGCTTCTTCCAGGGTTCATTTCTACCCTTTTCCAATACGTATCCTTGGTGATGGCGAATCTGTCTTCATTGCCATCTCCATCTTATCTCCAATGCGCCCCATCCCTATTCTTTTTTAAAAAATAATTTATAAATTTTTTAGTTATTTTTGGTTGTGCTGGATCTTTGTTGCTGCTTACGGGCTTTCTCTAGTTTCGCCGAGCGGGGCCGCCTCCTCATTGCAGTACATTGTGGTGGCTTCTCTTGTGGAGCCCAGGCTCTAGGTGCAGGGGCTCAGTAGTCATGGCACATAGGTTTAGTTCCACAGCATGAGTAGTATTCCCAACTAGGGATCAAATCTGTGTCCCCTGCATTGGCAGGCAGATTCTTATCCACTGTATCACCAGGGAAGTCCATTGTCCCTATTTTTATACATTTCCTTTCCATCATCTCTTCCTCCAAGGTGCAAATTGAGGAAGATTCATGAAGAGATCTAAAAGTTCGATGGAATGTTGGGGACTATGAGAGTTGATGATCCCTCTATATAAAATTTCCTCCTCGGTTTCCAGGTGAGAAACTTCAAAAGAAATCACTCAAGTTAGATTTCAGATAGAACTTCTCCACTGTTCATGGTGTGTTTAGGGCAGGGCAGGATAGGAAGTTGGAGGGAGTAGAGGAGAGGTATTGATCCCTGGGTTGGGAAGATCCCCTGGAGAAAGAAATGGCAACCCGCTCCAGTATCCTTGCCTGGAGAATCCCATGGACAGAGGAGTCTGGTGGGCTACAGTCCACGGGGTCACAAAGAGTCGGACACGACTGAACGACTTCACTTTCACATTCACTTTTCAAGGCATCCTCAAAGAGATGTGAAGATACAAAGAGACATGTCAGAGAACAAGAGGCAAAAGATGTGTATGGCGTAAGAGATCTCAAGTACAATTTAATCTGAACCTCTTTCCCATTCCCTTCCCCTCTCTCCCACAGGTCATGCTGTGATGCAAGGAATTTGAAGTAGAAAAAGTGCAAGTGTTAGTTGCTCAGTCATGTCCGACTTTGCAACTCCATGGACTGAAGCCCGCCAGGCTCCTCTGTCCGTGGGATTCTCCAGCCAAGAATACTGGAGTGAGTTGCCATATCCTTCCTCGGGGAATCTTCCTGACCCAGGAATCAAACCCGGGTCTCCTGCATTGCAGGCAGATTTTTTATCAACTGAGCTATGAGGGAAGCCTAGAACATTACTTTTGCTAACTCTGCTTCTTCATTTTTCTTTTTGATTCTTTGTTTTGGTTTCTGGTCAAGTCTGTCTGTGATTTGTCTAACTTATCTTTTGAGCTGTGCCCCTTTCCACAGCTGGTCCATGAAGGGAGGGCACCAGACCTCTAGGCCAGGCTGAATTGCATTCCTGACAATCTGTTAATATTAGAAGTTAATCAGGAAATTCCCTGGCTATCCAATGGTTAGGACTCTGTGCTGTCACTACCGAGAGCCCAGGTTCAATCCCTGGTGGGGGAACCAAGATCCTATAAGCCATGGAGCAGCAAAATAAAAACAAAAAACCAACAACAACAACAAAAAAAAGAATTTAATTGTGCTGGGGTGATGAGTTTCTCCCAGGGGTAGCAGCAAAGGTCAGGAATCTAGTTTTATGATTGACATTTGGTAATCTGTGCCAGGGGATGATGAGGTCTCTCTGTTGGGTGAGATATGATAGAGATTGTTTGGTTTGTTAGTGCTTTTTGTTCGTCTGATTGTTTATTTGTGAGATTAAAATAGTTTGTGCTTAATGGAAAAGAGAAGAGCCCTTTGAGATCTGGACTGAGTTTTATGATTCGATGTCAATTCGAATGACTAGTTGTACTACTATTCTGCTAAAGTAGTAAAACTGAAGCTGCAAATTGTAAAATGAAAGACAGCCTGTAGGCCTATAAATGAGAAAAGACTTTTTGTTTTGTTTTTAGAGTTTTTTTTTCTTTTTATTATTTTTTTTACTTCTTTGAGAAAAGCCTGAAATCTCATTATTCCAGCTTGGAATATTTTCCTACCTCCTAAGGGTGTCAACAAATTAGATTATAAAAACTTTCAAATTAAAGGAGATTTGTTCTGATTGGTTTATAGGGACTAACAAGAGCTTACATAAATCCAATATTGTCCAAATTCCCAGAACACAAAGAAACTGAGCTTCTAATACGTTAAAAGGGTTAAAGAAAACAAAACAAAAACACTTCTTCATAGAAATGACTGACTCAGAGGCAATTTTATACAAGATCCAGGTTCACGTAATGGAGTAAGCTTTAATCCTTGGACAAGTCAGACTGATCTGAAAATTTTGTCTAAAATACAAACATGTTGTTTTCCAGATTTTCCAGTGTAGAGTATAATACAAACACATATTTTAGTTTATTTGATATTTTCAGTTTACTTTTGTTTTCTTATGAAGAGAAAAGTTGACACAAACATTCTAATACACAATATAGTCCTCTAACACTATTGCTCCTGATATAGTTTCAATCACCTTTATTATAACTTTTACCAAAGTGACTAGGTTCTGCTTCAGAGAGAGAGAACATTCAGAACTGTCTATCACGAACAAATATTTTATCAAAACTTATAGGTTCCTGGACCTGATTGTATGTGTGTGTACTTGTGTAGATTTCCCCAAAATAACGAGTAATTCTGGGTGTCCCATAATTCAGCTCAATTCTGACACTATGTACTCGGACACAGCATGGGATCCCACAGATTAAAGGTTCAGACCTACAACCTCCCCCACCCCACCCTTATCTAAAGGCTGTTATCTGTGCTTCTGACTAACTGGCTACATTTTGGAGGTTCTTACAATCCACTCTTTCCTTGAGTTTGATTAATTTGCTAGAGAGGCTCACAGAATTGAGAGAGACATTTTACTCACTAGATTACTGGTTTATTACAAAAGGCTATAACTCAGGGACAGCCAGATGGAACAGACGCATAGGGTAATGCACGGGGTAAGGGCTTGGAGCTGCCATTTCCTCTCCAGGTGCTCTGCTTTCCCAGAAACTCTGTGGAGCCTCGAAGCTCTTTGAACCCAAAATCTTTTTGGGGTTTTATGGACACTTTATTACATAGGCATTGCATAGCGTCACCATTCGCAGGTGGCACTAGTGGTAAAGAACCCGCTTGCCAATGCAGGAGACATAAGAGACTCGGGTTTGATCTCTGGGTCGGGAATATCCCTTGGAGGAGGAGATGGCAACCCACTCTCATATTCTGACCTGGAGAATCCCATGGACAGAAGAACCTGGTGAGATACAGTCCATGTGGTCACAAAGGATTGGACATGACTGAAGCAATTTAGCATGCGTGATTGATTACATCATTGGTCATTGCCAATCAATTCAACCTCCAGCTCCTCACCCTCTCCCAGAAATCAGATTGGGATTGAAAGTTCCCAACCCTCCAATCACATGGTTGGTTCCTCTGGTGACCAGCTCCCATCTGTAAGTGATCAAAGACAGCCCAAAAATCACTTCACTGACATAACAGAAAACATATTCATTA